AAGTCTTTGGATAATGCAAAATCTATAGAACTAATACTAATCTTATAGGCAATGCTTAGTTAGGTCTATGGGTAATGCTAAATCTATGGCAATGCTTAGTCTATGATCATCATGAGTAGTAATGCTACTGGGCTTCTATGGGCTTCTATTAAATCTGTATATAATGGTAATCTATTCTTTGAGCAATATCCGAATTGTGGTTAGCGTATAACATCACTGTGTGAACCTTGTTTAGTTGTATTTGCTATTGTTTATTTGCTCATAATAAAAATATTTAATTAAATATTACTTATATTACTTAATATATCAAGATATTGGCAATAATCTATTTTATTTAAACACTTGATGTTTTAACGCTTCTTCAATAAAATTGCTTGGTCTATTAAATTCTAAGCTGCAAACTACAAAAGGCAAACGATGAGTTACGTAAAAAATATTTAAATATATTAGTAGCTATTTTCAATAAAATTTAGATAGCATACTAGCTCTAAAAAGGTTTTTTAGAAAGTTATCTTGGTATGTATATTTGTATCTTTCACTATTTTATACATATAACCTTTAAATGTGTTCTAACAACGTCAAATTTAACGTTTTCTAAAATATTTTGTAAACAATTTTTGTTAAAATTTATATACAAATTAGTAAATGCAAAAGGAAAAAACCGAAAGGACCTTAAAGGTTTTAAAATGTCAAAAGAAAAACACTCATACAAAATTACGTTCTGGTCACCCTAGTTCTAACCTTTCGAACAATTTTTACTTTGTATTAGAATTGCTGTCAAAAACTTAACTCAAATGCAAACTTCTTTATAGTGTAAATGTATTGCAATGAGACAACAATGAGTCCAATGGACTTCAATAAAGTTGATGTTATGCTATAGAAACTAGGGTTGGAAATATACAAAGCTTGTATTCTATTAGAAACCCTTAAAAATGTACAATATATTTGGTTTATTTGATACTGTAGTTGCTTTAAACTGCAATCTTTGTTAACTACAGTAGTTTGTTATGATTATTAATTCTTATACTGTATAAACATTATATACTTTTATTGCTTATTAAAATTTTTAATCTTGTGTTACATTATGTTTGATGTTTAATAACGAAGTACTGAATGTTAATCAAAAAGATTTAAATAATATTAATTTAATTTAAGGTTTAAATCAAAAATCATAAATAACTAATACATAAATTAATAGAATAACATAAGTACCGGTATATAATAATTTTAATACAAATAATAATATTTAAATAATAATTAATAAATTGTCGAACAAAAAATACTCCAAAAAATTATTTGAAAAATCAGATTCTGTTTGTTTGGATTGATTTAATAAATTGTATCGAAAGAATCGATTCAATTGATAGGCACTTATATTTGCTTAAAATTGTGTTAATAAAGAAATGAAATGTCAATTCATGCAAAAGTTGTAATAAATATCTTAAAAATGTAGAAAAAGATATCAATAAATAGGATATTTTGCTTTAATTTGTGTCCACTCTTCTCACAATCGGATTCCATGTCTCCCTTATTATGCATTTACGGTATAATGTGTTGATTTGAATTATGCGTTAATACAATCATAGTTTAGAAATAAATAGTTATCAGTTATAACTGATAAATAAGAGAATATTGAGAAATAAAATAAAAACTTAATCGGAATTAATATTAATATAATCGACATTCAATTGTTTGACATCAAGTCGTTGACAACGCGGACACACTTTGTTTCGCCGATAGTAACAATTCCTTTGAAAGCGAAAATATAATTCAATTTTTAAATTAAAATAACAATTTTGATGACATTATATATAACTCTCGATTCAAACTCACTTATGATAAACAGCCGAACACTTCACACAATTAGCAATATTTGATGAAAAAGGGAATAAGAGGTCGTCTTTATCGCAACATAATTCGCAAAAGAAACCCTTTCCACGACATCCCTATCAATAGTAACATTCATTTAGCAAAACATCAAATAGTTATGAAAGTAACGCAACAAATACTTCGCAATTATTAATAATGTGGTCCAGAAATAGTTTGTGCGCTTCGTTCACACTCTGCAAGAGTTGATCCAATTCGCAGAAATCAGTTAATGAGTACGAATTGAGCGCATTTTCATCAAACAGATAGCTTTTCAAAGAAATCTTTGGTTTTGTCGGCTGTTTACACAAACGGATGTATTTAGACATATGAGACAATTCGATGCGAACTCTCTATAAAATATTAATAATTTCCTATTTATAACTCTTTAAATGTGGTTTAATTGTGTAGTAAATAGTAATAAACTGTACCTTAATTTGTGTCAATTCATCGACTAATCCGTAAAGCATTGAATTTAATTCCGTTATATTAAACAAAACGGGTTTTAGTTTTATATAATTAATAATTTGTAAAGAACTGCGAGAAACGGGTTTTGGAGTGAAGTCCCAGTTATGGATAATACGGGCGGGAATTACCACTGAATTGGATTCACCGAAATGACAACAATTGCAATAATAGAGTCCATTGTAATCACAAATATAACTATTCCTATGATTGAGAAGCGCTTTACATTCGGCGCACCGGAAATCCTGGTGAGAGAGACCCACTTCTGGACAGATCTTTAAGATAACATCCCGTGAATTATACATCTGTTTATAAGTGACAGCACTTTCTTCAAACATCACTTTCGGACACTTTCTCATTAACTGCTAAAATGAATAACAATTAGACAATACATTACATTAGATAATGGATTCAGTAATACATTGTTTTGACAGAAACGGTGGACAACGAAGTGACAGAACTGACAGACGAGTAAATAGTTGTCATTCTTCTTGAGAGCAAATATCTTGGCTTTGGTTCGTTTGAGGCATTGATCGCAAACCAGTTGTGAACTGCTTTTGGTCTCATTCTCGGCAATGAGTTTATGTCCGCAAACATACAACTGTTCGTTCAGATCATTCAATTCATTCAATTTGATCCGCAATTCGCATATCTTAATCACTATTT